TAATTGGAGAGGTGGACTCTCCCCCATGGTAATACTCCCTGTCCAGAAAGGACACTGCTACACTGATTRACAAGGCAAGTCAATCAACTCCCTCAGAAAAACAAGTCTTCATACTCTTCCTAATGACTCTGGTACGATGTATGCAGTCTGAGTTGATGGAAACGAAAGTCACAAGCAGAGTAAATCATCGGTGAAATCTAAGGACTAGATATGAAATATTTCGGTTTCTCTGCTATTGAGGAATACGTTCAGTGCAGGTAGCTCGAATTTGCAAGCTGCGAGAGCCTCAGGCAAGGGGCCGTCAAGTGCCGCCCTTTGCGTAAAAAAAGGGCCCGGGGACCTGTGGCGCCGGCCAGGGGACCGGACACTCAAGAGACACGGCAGGAGCCGACAATTCCCACACTGCGCGCTAAGACTGTAAAGGGATAAAAGCCCAGTTTCTTTTCTTCGTGGTCCCTCCTCGGAGGCACCAGCTCCAGCTGTTATTTTGTGATTTAGTTATTGCACGGAGATTCAATTATTTTAAGGATCGCGCCGTCGGAGAGTGCAATAGGAAACCTGGGGACCAGCCGGTAAGGAGGTAAGGAAACCCGGTCTGCCTGCGTGGGGTGTGTGGCTGTGAAAGGGCTTGGTCTCAGCTTAGGTGGTGCATGTGTGACTGCCAGCGTGGYTCCTGGATGGAGCAGCACAGAGGAGTTTCCTTAACATTTACCTTACTTTGAGTGAGACCTCTTGACAAAGCTGATGATGATGATTAGGTGGTGATGGTGATGAAACTTGTCATTTCTGAAAGTATAAAAGCCTTGGTTATTATCAGAAACACTGAAAACCTACCAATTCCCTCTCTCAGGAACAGATTTCTCTTCCCATGAAGTTTGCCACACAATTGCCATTTAAGCAGAAACAAAACCAGCTTTCGACAGTGAAATGAATGCATACACTACATGACTAGGCATTAAACTTGTGAGAGGTCAGCAACAATTAAGTACTGTCAATTAACTGAAATAGATCAAAGTGCATTTGAACTTTACAAAGATAAACACTTTTTAAAATGTAATATTTATTTTGCTTGGTCCCAATGGTACTCCCTTGTGTTTTGCATACATAACCCCCTGTATTTCTAAAAAGCATGGCAAAGCTTTCAAAGCATTCATGCCACTGATCTCTAYATTCTACTTAGAGGGTACACAGCAGTCACACGGGTGCTCCTGCTGTTTGCCTAGTAGCTGATAGAAAGTAACCTTTAAAAAGCCCCCCAAAACTACACAAAATTAATAGCAAAATCAACTCCGGTATGGGTAAATACAGAAATCATAGCCTCATTGGAGTATCATCACAGCATGATTGTCTGGCAGATCCGGGATTTCTGTCCCTGCAGAACAGCACAGGGCAACTCAAAYACATGTGACTGAAGTGCTGTTACCTCCCCGCATATCTCTTGTTCCTGGCTTTTTTGTCTTTTCCATTCTGAAGCATCAAAGTTACCATGGAAACAAGCAATGGCATTTATGTATATTCGTGAGCCTCACCCTTCCATCCAGGTGAAGTGAGTCTCACTCAGTGGTGTGACCTGCATCTGGTGGAGCACATCCCCGTGGAAGGACACCCTGCAGCAGGATATGGGCTGAATGATGAGTGCTGGGCATCACCCTGGAGAGGGGCTCTAGGAGCAGGGCTGAATGCCTCTGAGGGGATGGAAACTTGTAATTCCTTTGGCTATTGCTGAGAGGCAGGGAGTCAGCAGCTTTCTTAAAGCCCGAGGAGCTGATAAGAGACAGGACTCCGGGAACAAATAGTTTGGACACGGTGCAGTGACATTTTTTCTCCACACAGTGGGAACAYGGGGGAGTGTGACCTCCAGCACCACATTCAGTTTCTTTAAGGCAACCATGTCATGGAAAGAATTTTGGGTATCATGGCATAAGGACATGGGGTCTATTTAATTTAAGCTTGCCTAAATTTGATGACTACTCTTGTCAAGAGAATGTATTTCAGTAACAAAATACCCAGAAGACTTATCTGCAGACATCTGTGCAATGTTAGAAATCTAAAACTTGAGTGGATAGCAGTAGTGGCAGGCCAAAGTGTTTTGACTCTTGAAGTTTCAGATGGATCTTGCACCCTTCTGTTTATTCAGGTGGATTTGGATAAATTGCATCAGCTTCTCCTAAGAAAGTTCAGTGATGAAAACTGGAGCAGTAGAAACCCAAAACTGCTTCAGTTTAGATGCTGTGGAATCAGGGGGACAATTCCATTTACTTAGCCCAAAATGATTAATCAGGTTTGTTCGCCCTAATTTTTGATTGGGTCCCACTGATTGGTCAGTCTAAGACCTTACGATAATACGAATAATTGCTATCCAGAAAGCACAGCTCACCCTCTGCAACTTGGTAATTATAAAAAATATCCCTACCTGGACACCTCTGGGTATTCATGTATTCTGGCAAGTAGTGTTATAGTAATGTAACTGAACACCAGTATTTATTTATAGTAGCAATTTTTTAAAATTAATTCTGAAGCACTTCTGCCCTGTGTTAATGTGTATTTTTATAACCAGTAAAGGCYCTTGTATGTAAATAACCTGTATAGGAAATTGTGTTCTTTTCTCATGTGTCCTTTTCTCTCTATAATTTTGTTCCTTCTCCATTACTCAGAGGACAAGTAGGGATGAAAAGAATAAATCAGAATTATCATTGTTGCAAAATAACAGGCTGAAAAAGCATTGTCTCTCAGTGATTTCCATAAAGAGACAGAACTTTGTAGTGTAAGAAATTGGAAAGGAACCATAATAACTTTCCATTATATGAGCCTTGGTATTTTTAGCTAGAATGAGGACAAATGGGGAATTCAAGAGAGACAGAGCCCAAGGCATGAGCGTTTGTGCTGCAACTCACACATATTAACTAAGGGAAAGAAATATTCTGCTACTAARAACAGAAGTTTCTACTACCAGAACACATCTCAGATCATCCTCAGAGGTATAAATGACAGTTTTAAACTCCCTCCAATGTCATGTCTATAGCTGGGCCAGTGGCTATATGGGAAAACTGGCAATAGAGAGCTGGGCAGTTGTTTTAAGAACTCCTGTTCTACTACATGATGGACAGGGGATGGTTTTGAAAACTCATAAGCCAATTTTAGAGCCCCAAGMCAGATTCTTAGAAAATTCTAACATGGTTTAGCCCCAAAACATGGGCATTACTTTTTATKCTGCACCAGAATTTTGAGACCAGAACTAAGGTTCAAGATAGGCACAGTCCAAAATAAACAGGGAAGCTGTTGCTCCACCAAACATCTTCAGTCATGTTTCAATCTCTCAAGAAGAGGGAATGATGCCTTCTATTTGAGTTTAGGTCTGGATATTTTAAATACTAATGAAGGTAAGGAATAAATCTCAGCAGTCTACACTTCTCTTTCCTTCAGTTTTAGTCAGCTRTTGTCTGTATCTAGGTAGAGAGAATAAGTTTCTCTAAGTTTCTGCAGATTKAGTGGAAGTTTCTAAGCTAGCTCTCAAAATCGAGGTGCCTTCTGGACCAAGAATAGCTTTTCTTGTGTTATCATCCCCCCATAATCTCAAAGATGCTCTTAATAATGCAGTTTATTATATGTGTACTGCCCCAAAAGTTTCTCTGTTTATTTTGAAAATATGAGATATGCATTCTAACTTATGTAGCTTAGGATAGCTTTCCACACAGAAAGCTATTGGCAATTGCAGTAGGCAGCATACTCTATATGACATTGTCCACATCTGAATTCTGAAGGATTGTAGCTCTTAGTCCCACAAATATATCACTGCTTCGACAGCCAAAACAGCTAAAAAAATATGTGATTTCCATGAACTTTGAACTAGTCATTGAATATGATTCCACTGTTAAATTTCCCTGTCCTATAGCTGTGCCAGACAAAYATGAAAATGTGAAGTGCACAGGTACTGTCTGTACTTCCTTGGCTACAGAGAAACATCCAGAATCACAGCTATTTTCACAGTTAATACTGAAAACACCTCCAAATTTTTTATTCCTGTCTTTTCAGCCTTGTAACTTCTCTTTGCCAGTGCCTGGCACAGGATGCTTAAGGAGAGTACAAGATTCTTTCCAGTTTATTGAGAATTTGTTCATTGGCACAGCCTGAAGTGATGTGAAATGGCTGTACTCAGTCAGACCAGGTGTGTTTGACACACACCAATAATGACACACAGGTGTCATTATTGCACTGGGGGGCAAGAACAGACACATCACTTGTCAGTCTTCACCACTCAGCAGTATCAGATCTGTTACCTTTATATTTAAATAAACCACAACCATTTTGCATCTTCAGTTTTAGTATCTAGGGTATCTGCCAGCAAGGAACGGTACAGTTTGGCAATGTGGTCTGCAAAGCATGTTCTTGATTCTAGTATGCCATGTTCCTTGTACAGGAGGGGCAATAAGCAACTACCAAATTCATCCTTGTGGTACTTACAGAGAGTACAGCATGTGTATCAGGCATTGGTGGACTGCTGCCAGGAAGTAAGAATGTGCTAGCATTTTGCATTTTTATGAGAATAAATCAGTCAAAATCAGTTTTCAAACCCTACATACCTTGAAACTGCAAATAAACTTCTCATCACAGAAAGTCTGTATTTGCATGAAAGAAGCAAATTAAAAAAATGAAACAGCTGTARGTTTAACATGAAGATGATGCAGGATCTCAAACTCACCAGGAGATTAGGAGACAACATTATTCCCCCTACCCAAAGCATCCGCTTGATGCTTGAACACTGGTTTTTAGCTGTGAACATGATCACTCTGGCATGACTATAACAGTTTTCGCATTGGAAGGGGGAACTGCTCATCTGTCCTTTACTTCAAAAGCATGAGGTAACACTGGGTAATTGGGAACATTTCTGTGAAAATTACTGGATGATCTACATGAAGCAACAGAGGCAGGAGAGAGATTACTCCAAAATTTCAGGTATATGCCTGCTGAGGCATAACAATCASAATACAGATTATTCTCTTTAATAAGCAGATCACTACAGCTTTTTTCTCAAAAMGGTTAAAACAAGCTTTATTTTAACATACAAACCAGATTGTGTACAAAGCCTTATAGTGACAGGCATAGTGAGTCTCTACAGACCGTGTGTAGCCACTTGTGCTGCAGYAATCCTGAGATATGGACAAAAGCCCTAAGAATCTTTTTAATCACTCTTGCTATAGTCACGTCCATTTGGAAATTAAAAAACATTATAAAGTTCTGAGTCAAGAAAACAAATTATCTACAAGCAAAATACCCAGGATACTTGTCTAATTCCCTGCTGTTATCCAGGTACACCAGCAAGAGCACTTAAGGAAMAAATTAGAAGATGGAAAAATGCAAGGTTACTTCATTAACACTGGAAAGCAAGCAGAAGAATGCTAAGATATTTTTGCTGCCTTCAACTACTACTGTCTTCATGAACTGTGGTCTATGTGTCAAGCTTGCTTATCCTATGACCTTACCCAAGAGTTCTCCACACTGTGTTAAGTTAATAAAAAAATCCGAACTTTCTTTGCTTCCTTTCACTATGAAGTTACAAGTGATATAGAAATATTTTTAAAAGCTTATAAAAGCAGTAGAACTACAGACATTTGAAGTCATTTCCCTAATATTAAAGGCTACTTGAACACCCTCATTTTGCTACAATGTTGTGTTTTTCATTAAAGGATATTAAAAAAAGGAAGTCTCTTTTTAAAAAAATAGTTACATGTAAGTAAAAGTTATAGACAGGTTTGAGGTTTTCCTTTAGTTTTGCAACATATAAAAATAAGTTACACTATATATGATGGCTTTCATTATTTATCTACTCGTTTAGTAGAAGAGTGTCACCATGGATTTAAACACTAGATGTTGTAACTAATTAACCTGCCCCGTTCTTGAGACTTTCCTTGAGTTCTGAATTTGTGAAAAGAAACAAGCAAATATTAGAGGGTAAATTACGCCTCCAGAACAATTTAAATAGCAAGAAGCACCTGTAGAAGTCCTTCAGAGAACTTTTTAACTCACTTAAAATTTTCATTTAATTTTTCAAGTGATTTAAAATTGAAGTTTTTATTTCAACTTCTCGGCAAAATAAAGGGCAAGCCAAATATCACACGCATTTCAATAGTCAGGACTTCATACTGAGCTTCATTTCAGAAATGTTTACACACCAGTATGATACTATTATGCTACTGAAGTAATGATCTCTCTTTAATGGTTGTTATGTTAATCATACAAGATAACAGATTTGGTATGCAGCTATCTCAAAAAGGCCACAATAATGCTAAACCAACAAGATGCAAAACTGCAACACAACTGCTCATTATTAAGTGTTGTTCACTACGAATGAAAGTGGAGGTTGGGCACAAAAGGTGCTTGAGTCAAAGACTGAAAGACCTCATTTACACATTGCTGTATTATTCCAGACTGTACTATTAATATGCTTACATTTTGAAGACTATAGCTGCATTCAAATTGGACAAGCCATGACAACATTCAAATACATGTAAATAAAAAGAATTCTAGTTTCATAGCCAAAGTAGTAACAAGAAAGTCTCATTGTGCACTTAACGCAGCATCTTCAACAACAAATTTCAGACTTCAGAATTCARTAAGAAAGATTGTGGCACCGAATATGGGAAGATTTTCAAGCTCTAGTTTTACTCAGGACAGGAGAGTTGCCWGTTTGAATAAACTTAACTGACTACTGTACTTTCCAGCTCCTTGTAAACAGGACTCCATATTGTGCAAAAGAGGAGTTTCTGCTCCMCTTTTTCTTCAAGAAAAGTATCTGAAAGGCAAGCTGTAATGATTGTTTCTGACAGCAGTAGAATAAAGAAGCTGATAAAAAAGTAGGTATATAAAAAATTCTTCCAGTAAAAGCATCTGTCCTGTTTAACTTTGTTTATGAAAAGGCACTTTATGAATTGCTAAAACTCCAATAACGTACTTGTCCTTTTAGTTTTTCTGTTAGAAGGCTGTGTTTCAAGGTGGTTAGCATAAGGATGCAAATATTCTTTATACAGTGCCTATCTGCTACAAATTTTATAATTACATATAGTATTATCTTACACCAGTTATTCAGAAGAATAGATTAATGTTCAAAATAATAGTAGGTTCTTCAAACAACACTTCACTGATGATAGATGATCTGCCATAGACAACACATCACCGGTAGTCAGTTCATGCTAATAAAATTAGCAATGTAAATCTCTCAGAAGTGAGTCCTCAGTCTTTTGTTTTCCTCTCGCAGTCTCTYGATTTCAGCTACTAAGCTTTCATTTACGGAGTATCTTTCAAGTAAAGCATGCATTTCATTCTACAGAAAGGAAAAAAGTCCCAATCAGTAATAATAAAATTAATAATTCCAGGTTTATCCTACTGGCTTTCATATTTCTTTTGAAAATGAAATAATGTAGATAATTCTGGTTTWAAAAACTTTTGATAAGAAAAGTAAGATTTTCCTTTTTATGCTGACATACAGTATTTTGATCATTAATACATTAGTGAATATTTTATCAAAGGATATTTTGCAGTTCTTCAGGATGAGAATCTACTAATGCAGATTCCATTAAAATGCTCAGTACCCAGACATGGTCTTTTTAATGCAGATCAAAAGAACAAAGATTCATAAAAAGGTGAATTTAAAGAATACAGAGCAGTTCAATATGCATACAGTACCTACAAGTGAAGGTTTATATTTGAATTCCATCTATCTTCYCTAACCCCAGCCTTTGGCCCTTTCCAAAGGACAGCTGAACTTGTTTATAMCTCACAAAATACAGAATCCATACCTACCCAATCCATATGTTTCCTTTATTAATCAAACAAAAACCGATTTATCAGATTCCCATTCATACTTTCTCCTTCCTTTGCATCAAATCCTTCCTTTCTTGGTCTTAATAAACAAAATAGATTTTTTTTTTGAGAGAAGATGGCATGCCTTGGTATTACCAAAATTAAATACATTTCCCATCATGCTCTTGGTACATACCAACTGCATATGGAATTGCTTGATCATCTCCACTTGCAAATTCACAATATCTCGATGGCATGCTTCTCTGAGGGAAGAATCACAAAAGGACAATGCTTAGACTTACTTAGGAAATAATCTCTCTCCAACCTGCAGCACGCAAAACTCCACAATTCCTCACCTTCACTCTCAAGAAGAGTTTAAAAACCCTTAGCCATGAAACGTAAGCCTCTACAGCTTAGTTTTGGAATACTTTTGTTATGACATTGAATTTCATAAGTACCATTTCTTTTCACCATATAAAAAGATGTAGGACCCTTTCAGTTTAGAAACATTRATTTATGATGGTATCAAGATTCTTTTTTCACTTGCAAGGTATAAGCTCCTCTAATTTTTACCATTCAAAACTGATTTTCAATTCCTTGACCAAAAGTACCACAGAGAAAGATATTTATCTGCAATTGAAGATACATCTTTTCAGTATATGATCTTCAATACTCTTTTTTATAAGGGCCCAAACATCATCTGTGGTAAGTGATACATTACACTCAAGTCCATAGAATAATTTGGATTAATCTACATAAAAAGAAGTGGCAGTGGTGTCTGTAAAGTGACATTAATTTGTTAATTCATGGACAACCATTCCACACTACAAAAACCACCCATGAAAATAAGCTCTGAACATGACACTAATGCAACAGTTCCAGATGCTGAGGAAGAACAAGGAGAACAGAARAGCTCACAGAAGAGCAGGCAAGATCTGAAGTTTTTCCTGAGTAGTACGGCTTAGTGTGGTTGTCTGGGACAACCATGATATGATGCCATGGGTACTACTGGCCTGACAAATTAAGGCATTTCTTAAGTGGACACACACAGCTCTTTCTTCATTTTCCTTTCCTCAAACATACAGCAAACCCAAACGGAATCTTCCTTCTCTTTCCACAGATTATTGTGCTGCAGAACTCATTCTGGAGGTAAACTTCTTTGAGTGTATCAAGTATAGATACCAGCTAGCAGCTTAGAAACCCAAAGACACAGGTTATCTCCCAAAGACAGGGATCAAGAAACAAACATCTTTTTGGAACCACATGATTTTTATATTATTCCTTGTTCTTTTCCTAACAGCCATGGTTTTTCCCCCCCATTACTTGAAGAGGAATCAATTTCAGGCAAGGAAGATAAAAATCCTTTCTTCAGATTCCAGAGGCTGAAAGGTAGTTACATCAATGAGAAGCTTATAATAGTTCCCTTCCCTCTTATTGATCCCAATACTAGCAATATTTCATGATCAGTTTAAATGTATCTGAAACTTAGAGCTGGGAAAAGGACCAGCAGAGCCTTCCAGCCACTCTAAAAGATACAGGTCAGAGGAGAAACACACTATTTAAGGCTCCAGATCTCAGATGCTGAAGGTAAGAGTGGCAAGCATAACTCCTAACTCCATGATGCCTGAACACAGACTTTAAAGAAAATATCTCTGCAATACACAGACTGCATTTTAAGTCACATTAGTTACAAATTTTCATCAGATGTGTKTTTATTGCCAAAAAATCCCAGGGGAGTTTTAGTATGCTATACTTATGTAAAGACATTCAATGTAATTTTTCTGTTGGCAAACACAGAACAGCCATAGCACACAGACCTACTAAGCTAGGTTTGTACTGCTCTTTGTCATCAAGACAGCAGTATTTCCCCTGCCCAGCAATTCCTTTCCTCTCCATCAGCTCCATTCAATCTACTCCATCTTAAAGATGGGCTGAGAAGTGATCCCCTGGACACAATTCTCTTAACTGCTTCACCTTCTTCAAACTCCACTTGAAATAGAACTGTGCTGGTTTGAATTTTTTCACGACAATTGTAATGTTAGTTAGATATCCATAAACAAAGTAATCTGAAACCGGCCATCACTTAGAGCACAGACATTATTTCAATGCAAAGCTATACCAGCAGCAATACACACACACTATTTTACCTTACACATGCAAAGCTAACAACAACCAAAGCCAACACAAGTCATATGTCCAAGTCAAACTGTCCTCAGTGTCAACTTGAAATTTCTCCTGCTGGAATAGGGAGATGAGCAAAGAGGGAAAGAAAACAGTGCAAGGCTTCAGGAAAAGACTAAGGACCTCACTATGCAGATTAAATTTACCATYTGAGAAATATTCATTCATTCTGAAAATGTCAGCAAAGTCATGCACTGACAGCCCAGGGAGACATCAGTCTAATTAGTTATCAGAGATATTAAAAACTAAGTTTCATATCCAGATTTTCAAAAATAGGGCTATAAATTGTGTCATTTTCTAATACAATGAAAAATTTGTTAGACCAGATGATGACACGCTTTATTAAGAAAACATGCCATTGAAAATAACAACATTCTGCATGAATATCAGTACCTGAAGTCATCCATTGTTTCTTGTATCATATTCTGAATGAAGTTTATTTGAATTGATGTCAGAGGTGCATTTGGTCTGCTACTCCCAATGGTTTCTACTATTTTTTCTGACAATGAACTTGCAACTCCAGCAGTGACAGGTGATGTTATCTTTGAACCTTTACAATTGAAAATGAAATTAATTAAATAATTATGTTTTTTAAAGTATCAGTGTAATGCAGTATATGAGGGCTTTTTGTCTTGAGGCTTCTCAGTATTTTATCCCAAATATTGCTATTAATTTTAAAAAAAACCCAAAAACCAGAGTTAGCAGTTAGAATGAGTCTTTTCAGAGGCAATTAGAGATATTCTAGGAGAGCTAGTTGGATTTAAACAACTAAGATCAGATGTTCCTTTTTAATGCTATGTCCATTTTATCACATTTCACATCAGTTTACAATCAACTACACCTAAGAGCTGGGCCAAAATTATCAACTTACTTGCTGAGGTAGTACCATTTACTGGCAGTTCATATGCAGGATGGGCCTGAATATTCTTCTGTTTCTCATTTGCATCAGGAGTGGATGATGGTAGAGAACTTGAAGTAACAGACTCTATGCTTGATAAGCTTGATAATGAAACCTGACAACAAAAATAATTTTAAAGATGAAATCTACGTGTTACAGTTGTCTAATTGCACTTGAAGACTAAGTTTTCAGGAATGCACTTTCAAAAGTTTTTGCTTTTAGGAATCTACTCAGAAATATCTGCTTTTGATTTCCTAGCAAGATAGCTGAAAAATTGATTACTAWAACATTCCAAATTGCCTCAAGTGTGCACACAGAAGCAAGTGCAAAAGGCAGGGGCCTCTTAATTTTCACATCAAAAATTTGTGACTAAGTTATAGCATCATTCCTAGCAAACTCAGACTTACCAAAAGTAACATAAAAGTAGCCACGGTCTCTGCAGAAGAAAAAGGAGAGGGAGAACAGGGAAAGAAGAGGGTGGAATTGATCTAACAAACAACAATCATAATGGTGCAACCACCTAGTGATCCTTCTTGATTTTCTAGAAAAATCAAAATACTCCTCAGGTTACCTGTTTGGTTTCATGGGAGCATATGTAACCTGATTTTATTTAAGAGAAACATACATTTATCTTCCACTGCTGAAGGCCAATTCACCTAAACCATACAAAGTTTTACAGATTTGTGTTAATAGTGTGTGAACAGAGTTGCAAAACAAAAATAGATGGGGCATTACTCAGGATTTTCTTCTTCAAGTAGTAATATTCTGTCAAAATTCTAAAAAGACCACTCATAACAATACCTGCTTTACGACTTCTTTAGATTCTTGTTTTCCAATACTTATTTTCTTAGTGTYAGTCTCTGGATGCTCTTCTTCCTCTTTAATTGGAGATCCCACAAATGCATGCAATGGGCTAGACTGTATTCCCTGTGCACTACTGCCCACCGGGTTTCTTTTTACTGGAAAGGGGGTGGTCGACTGTGGGAGAAAATCCAAACCCACAAGGTAGGACTGAAAATCCACACCTAAAATGAAAAGGTAAAGAGGAAACACAAGGGTCAATAAACATACACACCAAATCTATCCCAAAATTAAAATTCATGCACACTCTCACAAAACTGATAAGCTAAAGAAATCGCAAAAAAATGCGCCCTGCAAAAACTAAATCCTGAAATACAACTTAGGCTGCCACCAGCCTTATGMAAGTAATAAAACATGAAAAGTCTCTGTATAACACTATAAATTGCATTAAGGAAAAGAAACAATCACTTTAGGACCATACACTCCTGTTACCATGTTATGTCTCTCCATGTGTACGACAGTTTCCAGAAAAGTTGTTTCAGCATCTRCTTTCATCACTATGCTTTCACTGGTATGACAAAATCAGCATGTGAGAACTAGCATAGACCTCCAAAGGCCTAGAACTAGCATATGCTTACCTTTTCCTTGAGAACCTTCAGTCACTTTATTTGTAATAATATCTATAAAATAGCAGAACACAGACAATGAAGTTTTTATTTGTACCATTGCATTGAGTYCATAATCAAAGATAAAATATCAAGTAGGTATAGCATAAATAGTATTTTGTGCAGATGCAGATGAATGATACTTCACAAATTTCTGTATCAGAAACTTACCATCTCTGACTGGAGAAAACACATCTCCTAAACTATTTCGACCCAAATCATCAAAATTATTTAATTCAGCACTTTTCCCATGATCTGTTTCTTTAGATGGAATGACATCCAAGCTGCAACTATGGGGAAAACCTTCAAAGGACAATAACATTCAGTTAGTAATTGACCTTTTCCAAAAATAACATATGTTATGGCTCAACAATCTCACAGCAAGCACGATTCTTGGGAAGTCCAGTAAGCACTTAGAACTGCCTATGGATGCCAGTTAGAGGGTCAATTTTAACTTCTTCATTTGCACTCTCAAAAAAGGTGACTACAACTAAAAGCTAAGGTACTCACCAACARAAGTTAGAATACACCTGGATTCCCCTTCCTCTTTTTAAGGAGGAGGGTTGTAAAACTCAAGAACTCACTCATGTTCAGAGAAATCTACAAGATGGATACAGCAATTTTATGGTGGATCAGGTGAATTGAAAGCTAGTGACCATACCTTCTGCTAAGAAAATAACCAGTCAGATGATAAAAATTTGTATTTGTTCTGCAAGAAGAGAAATTTGCTGTACTGGGGCCACTAAGCATTCTAAGGGAAAGTCTATGAAAACATCTCTTTTAAAGCTTACCTGATGTTAGTATATTCTCTGCTTATTTCTGATATTAGAAAATCAAATTGAAGTTACACTTGCAGACAAAAAAATCCCAACCAAACTTGTTCCTAGACCTTTCCCCACTCTACCCTCAAGCCCCCATCCCTGACCCATTCCAGGGTGGAAAAAAGTTAGCTTTTGTATGCATGGTAACAAGAACAGTTGTCTGAGGAATGGAAGAATATATTAAGTAAAAAAAAAAAATCCCCAGTAATTATTCAAACTACAGTTTTTAGAGAAGTGAATTGAACTGCTCAGACAACCACCAAAATAACTTCCATAATTTCACAACATGTTTGTAAAATCTGTAAGTAYTTCTCTATGTGGGATTACTTGTTCCAAGTGATCCAAATGTGACTATGTGGGTGACTGCAATTAATCATGTCCAAGCATTTACATTAAGTGGAATTTGAGTCATTTTTTAAGATTTCATGTTTAAATGTATCAATATATTACATTTTTCACTCCTTCAGATGTATCAGTTGTGACACCAACATAGGATTGCAGTTGCTAGTTAAGTACATACTTGGTATACTGAGCCAAACCAGAAGTGCAATATCAACCTGTGCCAGAATTTAGAGGATCTAAGTGGAAAAATGTAATGTAAAACTGGGCAAACATGTCTTGTGCACTCTTACCCATTCTCACTAATCTAAACATAGTAATGTACCTAAATCAGGGAAGGAAGAGTTGTTAAACAGGAGTTTAAGGGAAGCCAGCTCAAAGTGCATCCAAGTTTCTCATCACATTCGGACTTCATTTATACTTTTCTACCTTAAAAATACCAGGGATAAAAAGCCTCAATCTTGTTTAAATATGCCATCAGACTGCTTTAGTGAATGCATTATTTTTCCAAAATTAAATCCCATAAACAGGGTCTAGAAGAAATTCTAGAGAAAAAAATGCATTTCATGGTATCTCATCCATTCCCATTATTAACCTTAAAGAGCATACCTTCTGGAGTATTTAGAGGTCTTTATTTTTAAAGTGAACACTCAATCTAAGGAAAASTGTTTTTTTAACTTTGTAAGCCTTTACTTTCTTAAAACATTTATTTATTATGCATGGTCCTCTTTAAGGGGTAACAGCCATTACATCTTCAAATAAAAATAGTAAATTTTATGTTTTAACCAAAATAAAATTTTCCACACCATTTTGTAATGTTGATTAGTAACACTTCTTGCATACACAGGAAACATTCTACTTCACCTCATACTTCACTGCATACCCAAGGGAGGTCATTAATACACATCCCTATGGACTGCAGTGGCTTATTGCCTAATTACTGTTACTAAATGTATTTCTCCTTATTTAAAAAGGGAGGGGGAAAGTGTTGTTGTATTAAAATGGATTAAGGATTTTTTTTCAAGAATCAAACTAGCAGTGTTACTGATTTGGTATTTTCAGAACTCTTGAATTAAATAAAATTTTAAGAGTACATTTCACACAGTGGCAGTTTTGGAATGCTCAGAATTCTTACAAAGAACTTGTTAATTTCAGAGGCAGAGATAGCAAGTACAGTTATACAACTAATCATACTTGCAACTATATTTAACATCTTTCCTACCATGTGATACTGGAATCATGCCTCTCACAAAAATACCGTTCAGTTGTCACTTGGGTTCTTGGACTAGGGGTTTTTTTTCCTGTGTTTTTGCTGGGTTGATTTTTTTTAGATGAGGTCTGTTACTCCTATTTGTTAACAGAAATACAAAACTTTAGCTCCACATTCCATACAGACATTGCATCAGGATAATCTACAAGAAGTGAGAATGCAAGAGACAGTCGCACAGCACCACCACAATTTTAAGACTTCRTAAGTCTTAAGCTTATAGTAGGACCCAATTCATCTCCAACAGTCTCACAGCACATATTATATAGTGGGTAGGGAAAAGRAAGTGCAGATGTGCATGTACATCCACACAGTAGTTCCTAACAAATGCCCTTCCTTCATTGTAATTTTTATACTGTAATGGTCAAAACATGAAACATTGCTTCCACCTTCCACATTATGCCAAATATTTTAAGAGTAGGAATACAACATTACCTGTTTTGTCCTGAAGAATCTCTCCTCCCTTATTCTCATTTGGCAACGCAACATGAGAGGAAACTGTTGCTGATGCTTGAGAGGCAATATTTTTGATGCCAGTATTTTGAATTCCTCCAAGACTACTACTAGCTTTGACTTCTACTCTTTTGGACACAGGTTTATTTGAAGAACCCGTAAGGTTAGACTGAAGAAAAAACAGAACCAATGAAGAGAAGTTATTATTCCTCAGCCAGAARCAAAAATATAAACCAATGTATTTTCCTTTTCAAAACACTAAAAAAATTCAGGTCAAGTTGCAAAGGTTGCCTAGGAGATATGACTTTACAAATAYAAAAAAAAGTATCTTAATGTAACTTTAAAGAGCATGGGAAACATCTGTATTATATATAGATAACGTCAACCTCCACTAGGATAGCAACAGAATTTAACAGTGGAGTGACCCTGCATGAGTCAATTTTGATCCCAGGTTTAGACATCCAGAAATAAGTGATTACATTATTAGGACTCCAAATTTTAGAGGAATAGTCAACCACAAGCAGCAAGTGTGCTAAAAGAGAATGAAAGTCTCAGAGTGGTAATCCATTTCAAAGGTTCTCTCTGTTGCCACTAAATGGAAGCATGGGCTTTCTGGATAGTAGAGCCAATTTAAGTCTTGGAAGAAACTCTTAAGTCTTCTCTATTATTTAATTGACTTCTCCACTGTTTGTATGTGTCGGCAAAAGTCCACATATAGGACATACAAAATACCTCAAGATAAGCAACTCTTTGTCTTCTCTAGTGGAAGGGTCAYTACAGAGCTTTCTGCTATTGCCTGTAGCATCTCAGGTTCATTTGTAAACTGATCTACAAAAGGAGCATATCCACACCAGGAAACTTAAAAGAAAAAGTTCCACACTGAGGCTAGGAGTGGAGGGAATTGCACATTAACAATGCCTAAAACAACAGTAAGACTAAGCAGTTTATTTATTAAGAATAAGCAGTTTCTGTGTTGGTATGATCCMATTTGTTTGCATCTGTAATACTTCTTAATGCTGTAATGCTAACCTATTTTAGAACTTAAACTTATGCTGTGCTTTCCTTAATCTGCATACTGAACAATGAAAAAGAATTTTTTTTTACCTTGGAAAAAGTGCTGTTGAACTGAAGACGTATGCATTTCACACAGCCTTTGTGAGCAGTAACTGTTTTCACTGGTGATGTCAGTTGTCTTAAGTCATACTGGCAGATCTTTCCCCGGGAACATCCTATAGCCAAAGTTGTACCATCAGGCATGAAGTCTATTGTGGTCAGAGGAAAATCAGCTACTATTGTTGTCAGTAACCTTCAAATACGAGAAGGGACAGGATGAATCTTTAGAATTTGGAAGTTGGACTTTTGAACATAGAGTATCTAAAAAAAATATTGATGCACCTATATATAAAAGCTTTCATAATTTAGCTACAGGTCAGTAGCTCAACTTCTCCAGTGCCAATTCAATGAATGATCTTCAGAAATAGTGGATTAAGCTTACACTAAGCATTCACGTTTAACAAGAAAAAAACTGCATATGCCCCAAAAGACTTCATGGGACAGGATCACATTGCCTTCTTAATAGCAAACACCAACATTAGTTACTGCTATCATCRTTTGCAGCACCAGTCATACATACATCCTCTCACCCTCTCGCTTTCCAAGCCTATCAACTCTACCCTTCCCAGCAAGAACTTCAGGTCTTAGTTTCTACTACATCCCTCCAAAATTCAAAYAGACTCCTGCTCTTATTCAGCTAGTGCAAAAGCACTACTCACACTAAAACCAGTGTCCCATGAAACCACTTGTCATGCTAACCTCTTACTACACAGTCCCATCACCCATGTCCCATCCTTCCTGCTTTTTCATCTGCTATTCTCCCGTATCTCAGCAGCTCTGTGCACCACGGTACATCTTGTATCTTAATGAGAACAGCAGGCAAGCTAAAGCTCAGGTGATTGAAGATCCCCACAGGCTGTACTGCCCCTCACAAATTAACTGCCCTGTATCAAAAAGAGAAGCCCATACAGAAGCACTAGGGAAGTCACTCATAAACTGACTTCASTTAGTTCCCACATACCTTTGGTTTTTTTAATTGTTTGTTTCTTAACTTAAGAAGCAAAATGGACTATGGGACAGGTTCTCCAGTAGCAATATGCTAACCACTTCAACCATGCTGAATAGGAACTGAATGAAATAATTCATATCTTAGTTAGGAAAGTTTTTCCAGTTTATAAAATCCAAATAAGGAATCTTCTAAAATCAAAAAGTCTTTCACATACTCACTTTTTACTTAAAGTGTCATAGAGAATAATTCTTTTATCCAAACCTACAGTTACAAGCAGCAGCTTATTGACTGGAGAAAAGCAGATTTCTGAGGCTGGTGCTTTATGTGTATTTTCAAAATTATGAAATGGGTTCTGGCTATTTACATCCCAGAGAGTYACATTTCCACTGTCAGAAACGGTGCCCAGCAAGGATTTCTTAAAGGATGAATACTTCAAGTGTCGAAYAGGCTGTAAAACAGACATAAGAATGAATTTTAATATCAATATTAAACGTTATTAATATCGATTAAACGATATTAAATTTTCAAAGACACAAACAGATTGGGAATACAAAGTTAAAATAGTCTACAAAAGCTTTCAACTCTGAAATATAAATAGTAAAACCACAAAAATTAATTTTGCATTACAATGCCATTTTTGCTATGGGGGGGCAGACTTTTTTTTAACCTTTATGGGGTACCATATGAGCTGATCAGCAAAATGAAAGACAAGGGGAAAAAACCACCTCTAGAAAAGTTTCTCATTTTTCAGCAAATATCATGTCTTTTTACAAAAAAACCCCACACATCTAAAATTAATGGAGTGAAAATGTACATTATTTCACCAACTGGTCTTCTGCCAAGAATGTTAAAACTTACTACCCCTCACTGATTTGAGGTACTTGGATATAASCCAATTTAATAAAACACAGACTCCAGAGTTAAGCAAGTATGTAGGTCCCACAGAACAGACCTGTGGACTAAGATCACAGAAGAGGATAACATGCATGGTTCATCCCATGCAGCCTTGTTATTCCAGAACCAGGTCATTCAGGAACTTAACCTGCCTTTCAGGAACAGATATTTCGTTTCCACAACGTTGCTTCAGAAGATGTTTCAAAAGCTCACTGCTCTAATACAAATTACAGTACTCTATTTCCTGATTAATTTTACTTATCTTTATCTTATTTACTTTAATTTTACCCATCTGCACCTATTCACTCCTGTGACCATAATGTCCTTAAACTGTTTCCTAATTCCCCAGTGCTGCTTTCCCCTGTTTTAATGAGCAGCAACCTCACCTTCCTTCAGGTTTTATTTTGCTATTAAAAAAAAAAGTGAATGTCCCCCAAGGCTGGTTTTTCAGTACCATCAGTCTCTTTGCAACTCTCCCAGTATGGATCTTTCTTGAATATGGACAACCAAAATTTTTATGGATCCTCAAAATATTCTGCTACTGACTTTGAAATGGCAGTAACACTTCATTCATTTTATATTGTAAATAYCCACTCTGAAATATCCTAGATGGTACTTACTTTTTGCAATCCAGTCTGTTTTGGTTGCTCACTGTCATTTTATTAAGAAATCCAAGTCCTTCGTTCTCTTGGGAGTTTTGAAATCCTACTCTAATAAGAAGAGCCTCAATTGTCCCCTAAATCTGGTACCTTGGTTTCTACTCTGTCACAGTTATTCCCATGTTTATGATTTTAATCATTTTTGGATACTGACACAATCCTCTCTTATAGGCAATGCCTTMCCACTGGGTTTCATCATAGCTCTATTTAGAATCACAGACTTGTTAAGGTTGGAAAAGATCTCAATGAGCATCAAGTCCAAGCCTTACTCCAGCACTGCCATGTTCACCACTAAACCATGTCCCTAAATGCCAGACCTACATGTTTYTTGAACTTTTCTAAGGATGACGATTCCGTCATTTCCCTGGGCAGCCTGTTCCCATGCCTCACTACCTTTTCYGAGRTTTTTTTCCTAATATCCAATCTGTACAGGTGCAATTTGAGGCCATTTTCTCTTCTCCTATTGCTTGTTACCCGTAAGAAGAGACAACCSACACCTTGCTAGTAGCTCTTTTTCAGATGGTTGTAGAGAGCAATAAAGTCACTGTGCCTCCTTTTCTCCACACTGAACAACCCCAGCTCCCTCATAAATGAGGTGTTCCTCACAAAACTTGCAGTGCAGACCTTTCCACAGTTTTGCTGGCCTTACTTCTGCCATCATAAGCACTACTGAAAATATTACACAAGATAATGAAAGAAAATACTAATTTGATTTATCAATTAATGAGTTTCTTACCCATCCTCTCTAGTATTCTCTCCCAAAGCACTGAACCATGTACTTTACTCAAGTYCAGTCCAATGAGTGCCATTATATTTTATTGCCTGAAAATGCTCTCAAAAAGCTTTTTTTTTTTCTGGCATAGACCACACCACAATGCGTYGTACTGGCCTTTACCCTATTTCAGTCTTTAACTTCATTTTAATGGAGATATGTGCTGCTTCATGTTCTTCCAACGTCTTTTCTGGCACTTGTATTGCAYGTCTTGCTGGAAGCCAAATTGCTTCAACCTGCTTTAAAAAGGTGGCACCTTCAACTAAATATTCAAATAAGAAGAGTTTGACTCTTCATCATTAATCCTCTACTAGACACAATGGAGATAGTTTTATCATATTTTTTCTGTTTGTTTACATTGAAAAAATATTGAGAGATTCRGGAATAACAGCTTCAGTTACAAACATGACCTATATGGGAAACATTCCTGTCCCTCACAGTTCTCTCAATTCTTCATATCCAAATACCTTCCTCTTACTGCCCTGGCATCTGCTCATGTTTCATTTTCTCACTCCTGTCCTGCCATCAAGATTACTCTCTTCTAGCTCTTCTCAAACCTCCCTTGCTATCCTACCAAGTCTGCCATTTCATTTTCTTCTTTATCCTTTTAATCTCACAGGTCTGGACAAGTTCTCCATTTTCTTTCATATGCCTACAGTCCCCACATTACCACTGCTCCCCACTTTCACCTTTACAAGCTGAAGAACATTTCACTATATRGAGTGGCCAGAACCCATCACACTCCTTTACAAGTCAGCCAGCTGTTCAAACAAYTAAACTAAATCCTGTTGCTAGGAGAATTGCACCAGGCAGTGAAGACTTGAACAAACATTATGTTTTGAAACAAACCTTAATTTATCCTCACAACAGCAAGCAGATAAGAATCTGTAGTCTAAATGAATACCAACAGCAGAGACAAATTATGGGATCTGCAAACAACTCTGCAAGAACTCAATTCTAATAAAGCACAAAGGTGTTTCTAAATTAAAATCAATTAATAGAATATATGCCAATGTTCCCATGAAAAGAATTTTGTTGAAAGTCAGAAAGCAGTGCAACCCTGGGCTATTCTACTGCTTGTAGAGTCCACACAATATAAGAAATTAACTGGCAAGGAAACTACATTTCATCATGCTGAATTAAACACAGACAAGCTCAAATTTATAAGGTTAGTTAGACTCCACATTCCCCAGTTCTAAAAAAAGTTACTATGGAGTGGTGACCCTTCCTAAATCAGACAACTAGTGCCAGAATCAAGCAATATAATACACTGTTTATCAAAATTTTCTCTTAAGAAAACCCAGCCACTAAGCTATAAATCAAATAAAGGCTTTGTAAATTTAACAGAATTACACAAGTCTTCAGGTATTCGCTTCACTGCACAATCAATCCTTCACTCCCCRATTAAAACACAAAATAATGACAAAGCCATTTCTGCACAAAAAGTAAAGAACATTTTTAGGATCGAAGTAAGCTGGTAAATTGGGCCATCCAACTAGCCAACTCATTACGAAATCATAGCTCAATTCCATTTTAAATGAAAGCTGTAATCAAATAACTGCCCTCCTTAAGAAAATGTTACAGACCCTTTAGAATGTGAACAGGAGCTCTTTGTTTGCAATTACTTTAACACATCAAATAGCTTTATCCATCCTAAAGGTCACTCAGCTTTGCAGCAGACTTCTTGATTTCATCTGACAAAATAGTTATTCATGGTATATCTCTTACTCCTAATCACTTTGGTGGAAAGAACTGAATATATCAAACAGGTTCATGCAAATCATCCTCACAAGAATTTCTTCATTYTCCAGTTAACTAGCAGCACAGTCCCCTCTCTGGATATTCACCTCAGCTGCATAATCCAGACATGGACTTCCCTGTAGCTCCTGCCTCACATCCACATTCTTCGTAAGACTGTAACCATCAAATTAGAAAAATGGTCTGACTATACAGATGGATTTTTAAGATCAAACCAAGTATGAAGTACAATTTTGCTTCAATATAAGTATGAGATTGGTGATGGATCAAAGACACCGCAGCACCTAAGAGCAGAGATAGTTTAAGTTTAACAGAGATTTTTCATCTGAAAGCATACCATAATTCCCGAGATGCTATGAAGTTGTAAGAGATTTTTCACCAAGTTATACTGCTCAYGCTAGACAGGAGAAAAATTTAACTTGACACTATCTGCAATCTAAGACTGAAAAAGCTGTTGCAGTAACAGAAAAGGAATAAGTCACTACTTCAGCACTCCTTGCAATGGTCAATTGCAAGGTGCAATTAAAGGTCAGGTTTAGGACTAAAGCAATAGTTCCACATCCCCTACACAGCTCCCCTACCTCTCTAAAAATGAATTAGAAAAAAATGAAAGCATGCCTAGAACTCAAACACATAGCTATCCATAAGACAAGACAATTCTCACTAAGAGCACACGTTGGAATTTCCCATGGGATAACACAGCTCATTTACCACTGCAAATGCACTTACATCAAACGAATTCCCCTTGTCATACCCATTAATTCTTTTAATATCTTTTGAGTGTGCGGAAAGGAATTGCAGTGGCAAACCCTACCAAGGTCCTTAGGTAGTACATATGCTTTGTGTTTGTCTTCAAACTAGTTCCCCCAAACATTAACTAAACACCTAAGTAGGTAAGACAAAACTCATTATTTTTCTCTTTGAGTAGCTATGCAATTTTAATCTCCATATTAAATAAATGTATTTCCAAATACAGGCTTGTGTTCACCCCTACTGTACAGATGGCTTTGAATAAGTTAGAACCGAGGATGCATGGTCTCTGCCCTTAGCAGCAATATACATTGTGTCATGAACTGAAATCCTGCTTTGGTTTGTAAACTGTACTTTGATCAGTTCTAAGATGTCTAAAAGTTTGTTCTTGAGGAACCAGTGTCTACAAAGTAAAATTTGCTGTAACCTGTATAGAAATAAAGGTACTTGAGAAATTTGTATTTTGATCCTACTTATTATTTAAGGCTATAAGGCACACAATGGTCTGCTTTTTCCTTTCCTTAAGGGCACACTTAAAAATTAAAATGAAACAGAATAACAAAACTTAAAAGCTCTTGATATGTACTTTCAATTTCTAAAGACTGTGAATTAAAGCTTAGTACTTGAAAGGAACTTAGCACAGCCTACCTGTCTGCTGCCATAACCAAAGGCAGTACTTGATAAATTGGTGGTAACACTGTGTAGGATGATTTCACCACTCAAAGATCCAGAAACAATGTAGCCATCATTCCAATTATATGCAACACACGTGACTTCATCTTTATGATCCTGTGGGAAAGGGAGGTTAGAGGGAGACTGTTAAAGACATTCTTCCTAATTTATGCTTTTGCAAAAAACTTCAGCTTGATTTTTTCTGATCATCCATAACATTTTAAAATATTATTTAGGAGTTATTATGGAATATCACAGAAAACAGCAGCAAAATATACCAAAGATCAATCATAACAACTCTGTTTGCAGAAGGCGGTTTTAATAAATTAGTAAAGACAATCATTTAATTATATGCAATATTTTAATAAGAGAACCACAGAGATATTTACCATAGGTGTTATTAATGTTATTTCAAAAGCAAAGTCTGCCAGAAACTAGCGAGATTTCTGCTAATCTTATGTACTACTGCTGCCAACTTGCCCTTTCCATCACTTTTAGCATTAACACATATATTTACCAACTAGTTTTTCAGTACAGTCATTTGCAGTGATGATATTGTGTATAATGATTATACAAAGGAACCCAAAATCTAGGAATAGATATTTAAACTATTGTATTGGCTACCTAGAAGTTTTGCTTCAAAGTGTAACTAACTCTTAGAGTCCATGAAAAAAAGGATAAATCAAAGCTGAAGTTTCATAGCCTCTTAAAACAGTGGTGCTAAAKGAGGGCAAACCATCTACTGAAGGCATCTGGGAAAGATACTAAACCATCCTAAGTTTTGGGAATCATGAAAAGGTTTTAGAGAATTCATACTGAATCAGTTAGAAGACAACCGTCTCCCAGTTCTGCACAACAATAGTTCTGCTACAGTATTCTACAAATACAGGAGTGCTTCCTCATTTGACATATCAGAAACAGCAAAGCAATTATGTGGAATGCACCTCCTAGAAAAAATCCCCATCAGACAATATCAATAAAATTTTGCAAAATAAAAAGTCTATCCTGAAAATTTAAACATACATTATTAAAGAATTGTACTCTGAAAATACACAGTTACGCATGTTAGTTAAATTTGTTATTCACAGCACATAAAGAACACAAACTTGAACAAGACCAGGATGCATGCTAGCTCTTATCTGTGGCTTTCATCTTACAAACACCAGACTTGAAGAAAGTATATTTTTTACAGTAGGCAGCAAAACCCGGGAGTGGAAAGCTAGAGTTCTTCCTCAGCCAAACTTACCTTTAGGCTGCGGTAAATCTTTCTGGACTTCAAATCCCAGATATTAACAGTGTTGTCAAGGCCTCCACTCACAATATATGAAGAACTAGAATTCAAGCTCACACATGTCTGTTTTGCCTGATGGAGGAAGAGGAAAGAAGTATGTTAAAGATTATTAACGGATTTATTCAAATCAACTTAAAAGCATATTGATGTGTGTTTTCATTTTCATCAGCAACAACAGTCCCATTGACAGACAGACCTAGTCATACTCTACAGCCACTTCCCATCAAAAGGCATTTAAAATCCAGTTCAGTTTGGACTTACATTTAATATAATTTAAAATATAAGTGCATTATTTAATAAAGCCTCAAATGCTCACATTTCCCCATTCCCATGTCAATTTTATTGGCATCTTTTCCTTCAATATGCATTCTCCCTTTAAATTATAGCCCTGTAAATAGCAATCATAGTCTTTTATCCAGGTCCTGAGTTTTTTTTTAAAAAAACATAACTTAAGGGAAAAACTCTTTAGAAGAAAATCAAGAAGTTGTCTACGTTACATACTTCACATTCCCTAAACATTACAGAGAATATTATAGCAGCAAACCTCATAATACAGTTAAGTGATTCTTTTTTAAATAATCACYGAAGTACCAGCTTTTGAAAAAAATGTCAATCTTAATGATAGGCCTACATTGAGGACAAATTATTATTCAGTTCCATCATGTTGAAAATTCACTTTTAAGTTCTTAAGATTTGAGTGAAGCGAAAACAAGTCCATCTAATTATTGACATGGTAAAATTGCAAGGGACTGCATTAGTTATAGATCAAATTTAGTTACAAATCAAATCTTCAGGACAAACACTCCACCTWTAGAAGTCTTTGCTTAAGTACCCTAAAAGCAAGGTCTGAACAACTTTTCACAAAATTTGCAGCCCAAATTAGCATTACAACAGCTATCCAAGGACATTAATTAGCATGGTTTAGAACACTAACAAGCTATTTAAGTGACCATGTGAAGACACTTCTAAAACTAAGTCCAGCTTTTTGAAGTGCCAGACTTCCATTCAACACGGGGAAAAAAAACCCTTGACCATAACAAATTCTCATTTCTTGCAATTCTAGAGGCACATGTACACTCCAGGAACAACCCCTACATAGACTCCTGTTTTCCAACGTACAATTCAAAGGCATGCACAATATTGGCAATTCAATTCAGAAAATGATGTTCAAACTTGAGCTCCATTCCATCTCCTACCCATTACATCACATTTGAACCACTGACTGCCTCAGATTATCACTTTTGCATAACTGCATTTATATCTTACTGACAGAACTATTTTAAAAGCATTGCCCCCCTCCCTACATGTGCTTAACAATACACAAGGRTATGTTTTTACATATGCGTCATAATTCTACCAATACTAAAATTAAATTTATCCCAATATGCAGAACAGATGTGAGACACACAGGATGCAAGGTGAAGTGGGGAAATTCAGGGAAAAGCATTACTCATACTTACTCCTTCAGCTATTTCAAAGAGTGGAACAGGTTTGCTTTTACAGCTTGAAACAACTATTTTATCACCTGCAGCAGAAGCAGTGGCCAGGTATCTATCTTTGTCACAAGTTAAGGACCATAATTGTATGATACTGGTGATTAATAAAAGCAACAGGAAGTTTCCCTTATTGAACAGAAGATAGATTGGCTAAACAGTCTCAAGCACTGTACCTTGAAGGGACCTGGAAACAGAAACATAAGGCTATTTACCAAGCTTTCATTAAGAAGCTCTCGAATTAACTAAAGCCCTTACTTGCCAATACAAGAGAGAGCAATTTCTTTGAGAGAAAAGATGAGAAATATCTGCCAGGTATTATTTAAGAGCTTTTTACCACTAAGGCAGCTTATCCAGTCCACAATTCTGTTTCTCCACTCCCCCAAGTAARAGCCCCATTTATCACTCCTTCAAAGGAACGTTTGTTGCTGTTAGCAGACTACGGATTTAAAGAATGGTCTTGGTCATGACAAATATTGGACTGCTTCACCATACACTTTGTAGAGTTCAAAGAACAGTTGCCAGTTTTTCCCACTCTRTACTGAGAAAAGAAAAACAAAAGCCCCAAAAGAACCTTTTATGAAACCAAGTACCCCAAAGTAGTAAGAATATTTATAGAACTACAGAGCAGGGAGATTGCGTCTGCACCACCACCAAACAAACTGAATAATCATTTAGTCATCAGGCCAATGTCCACGGTGATTTTATATTTGCTCAGTCAAGAATAACACAGGTTAATTGGCTGCACTTAACACAAGAGAATCAGTGGGCAGTGTAGTTCTTGCTATTGCTTTCATTATTTTAAGGAACCTTTTTTAGAATTTTACTAAACTATGCAAAACCAAAACTAATGTTTTGTCTCTAACAAGTTAACAAGTCTTTAAAGCAAGTTACTTCATTGTTTCAGTTTTGGGAGATGAAGAGGAGACTTGGTAAAAGAAAGCATGATAAGACAGACTGTCTATAGATCAAGTTTACTAAACACATACTAGTGTGTATGCCTATACATGAAAACATTGTGCTTCAATTTCTCTGCAAGCTAAAACATTTGTGTTCCAATCAATGCAACTTTTTTCACATACACTGACTTAGAGGACAGACATTCAGAACCTGCAGGACTCAGCTGCTATGTGCCAGCATCCCATCATCCTTCTACACCAAGATGAGGCACCACCAGCTTCTCCTGTGACAGCCATACAAGCTGCTCACCTGACCACTCACTGACACTTCTCCTATGTTCATCTAACAGCTGGCACCTCGTATCATTATCCTGGAACAGGCTTCCAAGTCAGAGGTGAAAAACCTAAATGGGTCAGATCCATTTTGATGATAAACCATCACCACCCTATGGATATTTTCCTACACAAGCAACACGTTTGTGCTTCCTCTCTAAATGCTACAAACAATGAAAAGAAAACCAGTGTCTCCAGGGTTAGAGGTTAATATCACTTACCTCTACACTACCAAAGACTATTAGAATCAGAAGCTGTCCCAGGGAAAAAAAATCTCTGATAAGTTTTCCTGTCTATACGATGCAGAGAATTTTATTACACAAAGCAATTGCTTTGCTCAAGCTTGTCAGTAAATCAAGCATTGTCTTGAAAGTGAGTATCATAATCAGCTACTGAAGAAACAAATGARTAAGCTTTAGAGTTTGCAGGGAATTCAGGCATATTATAGCCATTGGAAAAGCAATGGCTCCTAAGAGATGAGAAACATCTTCAGAATTATTTACCATCATGAACGGATTCTGTGAGTTACTTCAACACAGGGAACCATAAAATTTTGTTCAAAATACATACTAATTTTATAAATTATTTCAAAATGTGTCAGGTATGTGTTTTACAAACACTTTGGTATAAAAAGCAACTGGAATTTTGCAGAACACCCACAAAAACATGGCTGWAACTGTAAAGGATACTATTGCTGGCCCAGCATAACGAATTGACTGGATGTGAGGGCGTATGTGGGTTGAACTGCTCCACCACAGTTAGAGATGAGAAATCCCATATTTTGATGTCATCTCCTGATGATGCAAAACGTATATTTTCTTGCATGGCTGCACCTGTTTTGATAGAAATAAATGAAAAAGTRAAAATACACAAAATAAAAATAAAAGCAAGCATCCTAACAATTCAAAATAGCAATTTAAAATTGTACAGTTGAAGTTTTCTTGATAACTGTGATTTTTATTTGGTACACAGTTAGTACCGTTCAGCTGCACACATGAGTGAGAGCAGCAGACACTCCAYGCTTCTGCTGCTTGAATTTTTGCAGGAAATGCGTGGCTTCTTTTTCACAAAGCCGTCGTTCTATGGCATCAGGAGACTAAATGGAAGCTATTATCTGCACAGGTCACAGCTGCCTAGCAGTAAGCGCTGAGTATTTGAAGGAGTCATTTCCCACCAGTAGATGGGGACACACAAACCAGAATCAAATTTCGAAGGCTGGGAGCAGGGACCTAAAGGACTCACTTCAGCCTTCATCTCACCACTCCAAAGGAGACATCGAGAATCATTTGAACGAAACCTCAGACAGCAGAATACAAACGACAATGAGTCACCTTTCATCGCAGCTTATTCTGACCGACACCGTTTTAAGAATTAAACCAGGATAACGGATGCCCAGTTTGAAACACTGACTCAGCTTTTTACTCCTGGTAATTTTAAACTACCATCAATTAACTCTCTAAACGTGAGCCTTCCCTTCAGCTGAAAACATAACCACTCCTTAGCCATTTGCGGGACGTTTCCACACAGCTTTAGGCCATTCATTCTTACTCAAGGGAGTGTTAACACTTTCAGCTCTAGTCAAGAAATTCAGGTTCCACATCTGCATTCGCCCGGCATCAGTCCGCAGAGCCACTCCCCGCCGCTCCTCCCGCCTCACATGGAGCTCGTCTCCCGCTCCACACTTCAACCCCGGAGGCCGCGGGAGGTGCCGCTCGGCGGACTGAGCCCCACGGCATCCGCACCGCACGGCCCCGGCCCCGGCCCCGCTCCCGCGCTCTCCCCGCGACGCTGCGCACCTGCGGGCGGGCACCGGGCCGAGCCCCCGGGCCGAGGCCCCGCTCCTCTCCTCTCCTCTCCTCGTCCCTCCGGCCCCGGCCCAGCCCCGGCCCCCGCTCCTCGCCCCGCCTGGGCCCGGCCCCGCGCGATCCCGGCCCGACTTTCCGCGCCGCGCCCAAGTTCGCACAGCCCGTCCCGGCAGCCCCCGCGCGCCGGMCCGGCACTACGGCGGCCCGGAGGGGCCTCGAAGGTCCCCCACTCCGGGATGGGCCGGGGCGCGCTCGGATCGGTCACCGGGCTCAGCCCGAAACGGGCCCCTGACCCTGACCCCACATGGGCCCCTGACCCTGACCCCACACGGGCCCCTGACCCCACACGGTCCCCTGACCCTGACCCTGACCCCACACGGGCCCCTGACCCCACACGGGCCCCTGACCCTGACCCTGACCCCACATGGGCCCCTGACCCCGAACGGGCACGGCGCCGCATCCTGGCAGCGGCTGAAGGAAGGTGGCGCTGGGCACGTATTGGCAATAAACCCACGGTGGATGGATTTGAGGGGCACCACATCCGGCATGTGCCGCGTTTTGCATTGCAAACGCAGAGGAAGGGCTGTGTTCCAGTGCTGAGTAAAAAGCATCCGGCACAGCGGGCATTTGAGATGTCCGTACATCTGGGACACGGGGATATGTGTCATGGTGACAGAGCCAAGTAAATGATAGCAGTTAATACGCTACTTCTAKTAACACCAAGTAATTAATAATTGTTGCATCTGTTTCCTGATTTGGAATATAAATGTATTGTGGACATGCTGCATTTTACAGAAGGGGAGGCTTTTTGTTTTTTTCATGTGGTAAAATAAAAGGTAGCGCTTCTTTTAAGGTAATACATATCTTCACTACTTCTGCTTACCCCTAAACACAAAATTATTTACTAAACCATTGTCTTTAGGGTCTGTTAGACATGTAATCTATAGCAAAACTGTTTCTGCAGATACCTGCCTTGGAGTGAGTCTTTACCCTGTCAGAACCGGTACAGCYGAAATGCATGATTTACTTTGCTTTTCTGATGGAGTCTTGATTTTCAGGAAAAAAGAAATCATGCCAATCATGCCACTGTTACATCAAATGCTATTACTGTCCAACAGTAATGAATATCATTTCTTTATTGCATCAATTAGTCCTCATTAACCAAACATTAGTCATAATTTATATCTTCTATCATCTGCTTTCTCAGCTGAGTGTTAAGGGATCCACAGCATTCCTTCAAGTCTTCTACCCTAACGCCTTTTTATTGTCCTGATTTGCTGCTAAATCTGTTTTGTTTCACTTCTGAGGCCAATACTTGTTATTCCATTCTAGCTTCAACAGAGAATCAAAAGCCTTTTCTTTCCCACAACCATACCTTCTGGCTTTTTTTCTGTATCTGCTCCTTGTTGAGTGTTATCTGTTTTACAGACAAGCCCTAAAGCCTTGAAGTTGAACAATTAAAAATTTGGGGGGTTTGAAGTGAACATGATCAGCATGTTTTGATTCATTCTGTGTGTATGTGTGGCTCTCAAAACCATTTTTCCTCCTGGCAGGACCTTTGCTGTTTTTTTGTTTGTTTGTTTGTTTGTTTGTTTTACATCAGTGCCTGTGCTGTGTTTCTTCTTGGTATTTATAAGGAAACACTGGAACACGTTAGTGTATCCTGTTTGGGGAAAGAAACACAGCGAAAAGCCCGACTCTAGCGAAAAGCCCAACTCTTAGAGTTGTGCTCTTGCTGAAAGGGCCCTCTGTGCATGGCAGAAATTGTGCAAGGCTGCAAAGGAGACTCTCCAAGAAGGTGCCCTCTTATCCAGTTTGGAAGGAAACCGCCTTGCAGAGGGAAGAGAAATCCTCCTCATTCCAGCTTTCCAAATGAGGATTGGTCCATCTCTTGGAATCTCAGCCTCATCTAAAGGCTGTGACTAGTGATCTTGTCCAGCACTCCTACATGAAATAACTATCTGCCAAGTGCGGGATGCACACCTTTCAGCAAGCTTTTTGCTGCATGTGTGTTCAGATTTGAAGAACGATTTAAAAATCCCATCAAATTCCTACTGCTGAGAAGGAAAGATGGTAGCTGCATCACAATGTGGTGTGGGGAAATGTAGCCTGGGCTGGACAGCAGAGGCCTTGTGGAGTGGAGGCTCAGGATGAACCAGAGGAGGGAAGAGAAGGGAGGGGKCACATCGCTGGTGCTGGAGCCCCTGTGGCTAAAAATGACTCACCATCAGTTAAAGACTTGCAGACCTCGTGCTGGACAAAAATAGTTTTCATGTGTAGCAAAGCAAACAAACCCAAATACCTAACATATAAAATACAATAAATACCAAATTTAGATGTAACAGGAGACTCTAAACACATGAACAAAGAGTAAGGTCTGAAAGTGTGTTAACCACATAACACATACCCCAAATTGATCCTAGAGCAAGGGAGAAGAAAAGATCAACATTGCATTCTCCCTGGCCGGTAGCTCCAGATGTAATGGAGTCCACTCCCTGAGAGCTTCTCACATGCTCAGGATGAAACCATTGACCTTCAGATCCAGGGAAGCTGTGGAAGTGTGAGCAATACACAGGCGAAGAGAGGTAAAAATAGTTACAATTGATATAATCATTTTAACTATATTATTACTATTGTTATTAGAACTTTTGGGGCATAGAAGTATTCTTTCTTTTCCCATAATTATTAGACCTAGATTAATAACAATTATTGAATTAGGCTAAGATTTCAATTATACATTTTTGGCTTTAAACATACATTGGTTTCATCTTTGCCTATAAACAAGGCTTTCATTGAAGGACAGTGACACTAGGTTCTGAAGGACGAGCCACAGAGTTCTGGAGGAGTAAGACCAGGCAGGACACTAGGGAAAAAAACACCTGGATTTACTTATGATTATAACTGTTCTTTAGAGTGGTTTTGAAACCACTTTAAAATTGGTGTTATCCGATTTGATAGTGGAATCCTAGGACTGTAACAGAGCTAATTAATACACTGCACATTGTATGATGATAAAGTGTATACAGTAATCTGTAGGATAGRCAGAATCTTGACTTTCACTGCTAGCTCTGCTCTGTGGTAGCTCTATGATGCCAGAATCCATGGGGAATGAAGCAAGCTTTGCTGCCAAGAACCTTTGCTTTAGACATTGACATTTTTTGGTGGCTGCTGAAATGTTGTCTGGATATCTGGCCAGGGCTAAGCAGCCCTGTAGATACTCTGTGTCATCACAGACTTCCACTTTCCRCACAGGACTGTAGGGCTGGCTCTGTCAGCTCATGATTATTCCTTAGGTAGCATATTCTCGTTCTGCACTGAGAGTTTTGGCGTCTCAATACATTCTTTTTTTCTTTGCACATTAAGTAGAATCCTAAATCATGCTGAGATGGAAGACAAATGAGAATAATTCTAATTATCTCTGGGGGTTCAAAGTAGAAAATTAAATTGCAGTGGTAAATATTTGACTTCATCATTTGCCTCTGGACCCTTTCACCCACTGTGTTTTAAAGATTAACCTATGCTTCATATTTTCACTTCTCTCATTTAATGATGTACTCAGTTTCTTTAACTCAAAGAAAACCTTTGGCAAGCATAAATGGATCTCTCTGCTGGCTTAATTAGTTCAGCATATTAGCCAACAATTAATTCTAGTTCCATCATTATTCTTTTAAAGAATCTTCCTTCTTGGATTTCACTGAAAATGGATTTGGAAACAAATGACTGTTCCCTTTACAGTCTRTCTTGACTGAATAATAACATAAATACCCTTCCTCTTTCATTCAAGGATCTGAAAATACTTTCCAAATGTTGATGCAAAAAACCTAAAATCCCTCACTGATGAGGGGATTACTGTTATCTTCAGATAAAGAAACTTAGGCATAGTGAGGGTAATTACTAGGATTATTTGGTTAGATTGATGTCATCCAAAAACTGGATATACACTTTGGACAACAAAAAATGACTGTGAATTGGAGCTGTAGTGGAATTTAAAACCCAGGCACATACAATTGCATAAATCTGTGTGAAATTACTGATTTTCACATCATAAAATTAATTTAACCAGAAATAATTTCAGGTTACTATATATTTGTAGGCATGAAAAATCCTGTGAATGCCTGGAATATATAACATCTTTCAAGGCAGCAATATAACTTAAAACTATATTGAAACATTTGAAAACTAAAATATTCTAAAATCCATTCAGATCTTTCAATGTTAAGCCCCCTGCTCAAATTCAATATGAGCTCTAGCATGTTCTTGATGATACCATTTTTAATTACAGGACCAGAAACTGATTTTATTCTCAGCCTTTTTGCTTCATTCAGTTCACAGAACAGAAAATACTGAAAGAATTTTAAAAACCCCAAAAATCTCTTTTTACTGTTCTTTAGTTCTTCATAGGTCTTTCTTGTCCCTCACCCAAGGGAATGGCCTGAAGATAAAATGTCATTCTTTTCAGAACCTTTCAATTTCTCCCTGCAGTACAGTCTCTCTCTTTCTCCTTGCCCCATCCCATGATTTATCAGATAGGGAAGCACTTCCATTCCTTCCTTCCACAGATGTAGAATGGATAAATATTTCAGTTAAAATTTGAAAAGAATTGGTAAACATGGCAGTGGTTCAAAGCTGTTAATATGGTGAGCAGCTCTTTGGCATTGTTGTAAAGGGCAGATCATAGAGAAGACTTTCCCATAGCAGTAAGGTCTTCCCTTGCATAGAGAAATCCTCCTTCCTCTCTTCCTTTTTAATTTTGGACACAGTGACACAGACAAGTATTCTATGAAAATCTAATTCAGCATGATGCTGACACAAATTTATTCTGGTTCCATATGTTGAAAGTTTTAGTCTCCATTCACAGGTAAGGAAAAAAAACCCACCCAACTGCTGTAATACATAATCAAGAAGCAATTTACTTTGCAATTAATGTTATACTTTTTCTGTTACTGGAGACATTAGATATGAACTTCCTTCCTTACATGCAGATTTTAACTAAAGAGTTTAATTATATGCCAAAAGAAAAATGCTTTCTCCAATGTTTTCTTCTGAAACCTGCATTGAATACTTTATCCTGTGTTTATGAGAATAAAATCTGCTGCTATGGATACAGGGAGGTCAGTGTTTTAATATTACTGTTTCACTGTGCTGTGTTAAAGGATAATATTTTTCTTTCAAAAAAAAAGAAAGTATGTATTATAAGAAAAGTATAGTAATAAATTTTAAATGAATATGTAAAGGCTTTTATTTAATATTTCTCTTTTGAGTACAGGAATTATAACAAGGTCCAGACAGGCAGCACTGAAAAAATACCTTGTCTGCGATAGAACTTCACTTCCATTTTCACCTGATGTTATAGCATGTTTTACAAATATTAATTAAACTCTATAAAAGTCCTATGATAATCCTCAGAGTGACCCCAAACAGAAAAAGAAATGTTTACTGTTTTTACAAAGCRTAACAAAAGACAGAACAGCTGTATTATTTTTTTAAAATCTGCAATTTCCTACTTGTTCCTTGTAAAAGAAAAATTAGAAATGTCAATTTTTATCTTTCCTGCTTTTTGAACAACTGCAGAAAAATAAATTCTTTAAATGAAAGAATAATGCTAAGGAGTAKCTCCTCTGAAGTGGCTGTTAGGCAGTTGAGTTAAATAATCATACTAACTCCATTTTTAAATTGTCTTGTAAAAATAACTGGCCTATCAATTACTCACTTTTCTTTTTATCATTGTATCACAATCCTAGTTTTCCTACTACCTACAGCATTCCAGGAAAAAGTAAACAAAATAAAAAATAGCACAACTTTTAAACAGCTACACCTAACACAAATACATCCAGTCTTCTTTCAGTTAAAGAATGAAGCAAAGTAGGAGAAGACTTTACTCCTTTTCTTCCTGTACTGGTCACATSTAAGATACTGATTATGCTGAATCTTACATCTCCTCCCTCTTCATCCCTAGAAGAAACTTCACTCAAACAGGTAACATTTTTCTGAAAAGCACAAGCCAAGGTAAATCTGCAATTTCCAAAKAGCTGAAAACAATTTATTCTTTTATGACTGGACTACAGTAGAGGGAATGCCTGACTAAAGTGAAAGGGACTGGCATTTTTCACAGGAGACRTATCCAGGAATGGTAACCATTAATGCTGAATTTTCACAGCAACACAAAAACATAACTAGTGATAGGACAAGTCTAGCAAAGGAGTGCCTGGCCTTGGGATATGAGCAAAACCAAAGGGCTATGACCCCTCTCTGGTCTACTAACTCACTTGTTCATGTCAAATGCTCCATCTCAATCACTGGACAAGCATATTGCCATGGGTGACTGTTGTTAGGAGTCATTTGTGTTTCTTAAACACCTTAAATCTGTATTTACAGCAACATTCAGAGAGGTTCCCTTAGCTTTTTAGAATGATATAAAAAATGTTTTTTACTGTACCTTTGTACTGCCTTATTGGGGAGGAGAGTTGTTTATTTGTTGTCAGGGTTTGGTTTTGTTTTTAAAAAAATGCTTTGAAATGATAAAGACATGTGAATGATCATTTGCACCCTAAACAACTTAAAATGCTAATTTTCAAATAGATGTATAAAAGAAAAAACTCAGTGATGATTTTAGGCCCCCAAAAATTCTCAGCTTCAGAAATAATACCAACTTTTGTCAACTGCAAAAGCAATTTAAAAAATGCTGATGAAAATAAAACTCAAGGGGAAAAGGAGTATCTATTAGCAGGTGCTAGAAGGCTACAACCTATTCAGCTTTCCTAAACAATAAAAAAAATCATTGAAAAGCTAGAAAACTCTCTTATTAAGAAACTATTTATAAAATAACTAATTCCTAAAAAATTACTTTAATTTGAAAACKATTAGTGTTCAAATAATTATAAATAAGCTAAAAGGGAAAATTATAAAACATAACCAGAGCCAAATCATGGTGTGATTAATGAAGTTGTTACATTAATACTAGAACTTAAGTCWAAGTCTGTAACATTTAGCTAATAACTGTAAATTATTGCAAAATAATGTTTAGTGAAGCAGAGAAATGATCCAATTGAAAAGGCTTCCTTCAGTTATTGTACATCCATTGGCAAGATCAAACATATCTTCCAAATTTGTTATTGATTGAAAAGTAACATCAAATGGAATCTGAAAAAAAAAGAAAAAAAGAAAAAATACTAAACGAATATCTTTATTAAACTTAGAGGTACCAAAAGGTATACAAAGAGCTCCATATACAGCCAGATTTCCGAACTACAACCAATGAGTAAGTAGAAATACTTATTGCCTCAGTATAAATTTGTGGTTAATGACATCTCTTGCAGGAAACTAGTAAAATGGGATTCAAGGGAAGAAACCGTTATGAACAGTCTTGTTCACAAAGTTTATCATGATCATCCACAGGGTAAATGAAAAGCAGAAAATGATTAGTAATTTGGAAGGCTTTTCCTAAGAGGCGTAATTAAAGGAATTGAGCCAACAGTAAARGGTGAAATAGAGGACAATGATGGTTTTTGTGCCCATTGAACACGGAGAACTATTTAACTGATTTAGGTATCAAGAAAAAACAATTAAAGGAAGAGAAGCTTGGAACAGGCTACCTAGGGAGGTTAATTTTTAATGCAATTATTTTATTTATAAATTTACTTTTAACAGTTAAGATTGGAGCTTCTAAACACCACACTTTATGTCCCTCAAGAACATAGCTRTTCATTAAATAGCATTAAAAACAAGCAGGGTGATAATTTTTTATTCTTAAAAATGAAGAGTCAAATAATTTAAAATGAATAATTCAATGAAAATGCAGTTTTTCCATTTATAAATATAATTCAGGGCTGAATCAAAAACACTGTAAGATACCAAGAAAAAACAGAATCAGAGAAGATGGAAACACAATAGGCRTGTGACAGCTTAGAGAATGAGAAATACCACAAATTAGAACTGACTTTGTCCAATTAATTCACCAGAAGATGAACAACAAAAAAACATTTGTTGGAGGAAAATAGTGAAAAACTGCATATAAGAAATGTATCTGCTACTTTCTCTTGTGTGTTTGAAAACAAAGGGAATATGCCACTCTATAGTGTACACAGTCTCTCTCTGACCGTTTCATCTCTAGCTGAGATGGGGTAATGCACACATGCAACTTATTTAAAAGTTTGGAAATGCTACACTGAAATATGYTATACATAATGAAGTGATGAACACCCTATAAAGTTCTATTGGCTTCAGAGAAGAAAGAAGATAGACAGCATCTTCAAGGACTAGGCTTTAGCTGCTWAAAAAACTACCATATCTAAAAGCATCTTAGTTTGAAGTTTGTATTTTAACCTTTGCGATGAAAAGCTTTGTGATGTTCCACCTGTTGAAACATTTCAGCTTGTAGTGGAATTTCGCAAGAATAAAACAGAGCAGTAAATATGATATTCTTAGTGGAAGAAGACCACTAAATCTGCTCCCTCACTGCCATCGTAGACCCACAAATAGAAGCAGGAAAAGTGGAAGAAATTCACAAGAATTTCAACAGTTCCAGGAAGTTTCCACGATTCTGTGAGTTTGTCTGTATATTTCCCTAGGAATCTATCAATTCTAGCTACCATGGAAGATACTGCAGTGTGGCTGAAAAGTACAGCTTTGCAGAATAGATGTGGGTGTATTCTGATGCAYTGATRAAGCCAGATTGGTGATGTGAAGCTCTGGGWGTCATTTGAGAGAGAACTTCAGGATTGATAACAAGGGGTGGCAAGAATGGTACAATGTGTATCTAARGGAAGTGTGTACTCTCAGGTTCCAGGCTGCAGGACACACAGGACAGCACTGCAGATTTTCTCTTCTGTAATGGGTCACTGGCCCAACTGTTCTCAGATAAAACTCAGGATTCTTTTCTGGTAGGAAGAGCTATCTGACTGGAAGAGTACAGTGGATGTCTTTGCCATTATCATTCCATTGTGAACCATTACTGGCAAGATATCTGAGGATTAGTTGAGGCAGTGATATGTTACTGTGGATTCCAAAATCTTCCTTGGAGTTCCTTGAGCCCTGGCTGCTGTTGTCCTTTTCTGATCCCCTAAAGTGACTGACAACACTGCTCCCTGCTATGGGCCAGTTCCCACAGTCTCCACTGGGATACTGACTGCACTAGGTAAAAAGATAAATAAGATGTTTTGTCCAAAAGCATGGAGAAAAAAATGGCATGCTATGTCTCAAAACATGTCATGGGCAAGGCAGAGAAAGCTAAAGAAAATAGAAAAATCAAGCTGAATAGGTGCAAATATGCAAGAATGGAAAGAAATTACATTTGGCAATTGTATCATGGAAATTCACTGGAGTCTGTGTAAACAAGGACCAGAGAGTGGTGGATAATCTGTATTAACTATTGTGAGCAAAATCCCCTCTCAATTCATTTTTGTATTTATGAAAAGTTGATTCTAATGAACAGTGAAGATATTCACAATTTGTAATCATGCAGATTGGTATTTTATTTATAAAGATGATAAAATAAGACCAAACCAGAAAATCCAACAATGAGGAGAAAAATGGGAAGATACAATCCATGTTTCAGTTTAACTGAACAATTGTTTTATTTTAGAAAACAGATTTTTACTCTTAACGAGAACAACATACCTCAGTTAATGGTGAGGACAGGGCTGGAACAACAGTCAGCAGTGCTTTGACTTCAGATAAACACCTTATAGCAATTTCCTAATGGTATAAAACAAGAAAAAGCTTGTTCTATCTGAGTAGTACAAACACATGCTGTAGTATCAGTATCATCCGATAAGCTAACAGATGGCTCAGCCTCACAGAATTTTTCAGAATATTCAAGTTTTAGGTTATTGTAATTGAATTCACAACAAAATAAACCTTAGCTGATGAATATAAATTTTCTGCGACACAAATAGTTGTGTTTTCTGTACAAACACAAATGCCCAAACCTTGCAGTTTGTACTGAGGCAAAATTGCCCTCAGTTCAGGTTTTAAATCCAGTGACTGAACATACTTTTGCTGTGTGTTTACTGAAGATATTATAAACAAACACCCTGGCAAGATGATATTTATACATGTATAATGCAGAGCCTGCTAATCTTTTAGTATTCTAAACATTGTTTTACCAATTACTGACATATATTAATGAAAGTTTGAGCAAACACCTTCAGGTAATCAGAAACACCCACTAAAGGACAGTTCTGTCTACCCTCCTGAAAACTGTGATTGGCCAAAATATCATTTGTTCTCCAAGCTGGTCAAAATACAGCCTTGTAATAATGGCACAGTGCACAATTGTCACTATTTCACAGCATCCATCAGACAAAATGACAGCCTCTATATCATTAATCATTTCACATAATAGATAGAAAGAGAATCCTGTCACATGATAAATGTCTTCCACTTTGAAAATAAACGTCTATTTTGCCTTGGCATTTATCAAGCAGCACTTATGCTGTGGCAACATTCTATTCCAATGACATTATCTCAAACAGACCACATGGAAAATTCTGAAATTTCCTTTGTGTGTGTGTATGTGGGGACAGTTATTTGCTTGTGGACTATATTCAGCCTTGCTAATAAAAAGAAACGAGGAAGATGGCATAGAGAAAATGAAAATAAATTCAGTGCCAGTTTTAGTCCTCTCTCAATAACCTTATTAGGAAGGTTCTTTCAGAAACCACCACTGCCCATTTTACATTGAAGATGTGTAACTGATGTTTAAAAAGCACTTTTGGGTTGATAACCATGCTAATTTGACAGACTGCCAAGGATTTTCAGATGTAGATTACTATAAATTAGGTATCAGTTTCCAAATCTATGTACCTGAACAGGTAGCCTTTATTTTCAAGTGGAAGGTTGAAAATGCCTGTTTTGTTTTGTTTTTGTTTTTCTAAAGTGACAAGCAATATATAAGGAAAAGTTAAATATCAAATAAAGAGTGAAAGTATTTCAACTTTTCTTTAAAGAGGTGAGGAAAGCCTAATGTCTGCCTTTATGCCTGCCTTCCAAGTTATCTGTCATTTATTTCCCCAAGATAGACATCTTAAATCAAGTGAAACATACATAAGAGCAGAAYCATTCTTACTTACTTTTGTTTTTTCATCAAGATGTACTTTCGCATCACTCATTTTGGGCTTATTTGAAGGACTTATTTTCAAAGTTTCACTTTGTTCAAGAAAACTTGTAGGTACTGAACTTTTAGAACCTTGCATCAATATTTCAACTTGCTCCTTCAGATCAGACAATTTCTTCCTTAAAGAAATAATTCTAAAAGAAGACAAAGTTTTTCATTATTGGTATTATAAAACAATATGTGTTGTTTCCAGGTTATAATTAAGCTGACCTAGCTTTTATTACATATTGATTATGTTCTATATTTTCTTTCCTTTCAAGACTGATATAATAATTTGACAAAAATAAGCTTTCCATTTAATAAAGTGGAAATATGGAATGCATTAGCTTTTTACATTAAAAATAGAAATAAATACTATTTTAGGAATGCCTCTCTAAGAAAAAGCTTTTTCATCCAACGAGCACAAGGGTGGCAGAGGCTGCAAATCTCCTTGGCCCATTATTCCTTCCCTTCCACCCACTCAGCAGTTCCAAAAATTTTAAGACTAGATGAATGATATGGAAGAAGTAATAAAAAATGTCATAGGATGTAAAATTAAGGGCTGAGTCTGGCACTACAATGGAGAAAAACTCTTGCATTCTCAGATGCAGGGATGGGGAAAGTAGGTGATCCAATGAGAGAATGGGAATGGCTGCTGGGAATGTTTCTTAAATCTACTACATTGCTATGCCAGGGTAATATAATGAGCATATGTTACTTGGTTCTTTAAGAATCAAAACTAAAATGCTAATGAATGCATTGAAAAAGCGACTGTTTGGATGGGTTAAACACTGTGTACAACATCTTACAGTTTTTATAGTGAAAAATCTTTGAAAAGCAAAAATGCAGGTTTTTAAAGATTTCCAGCTCTTTGATATTTTGTACTTTATTTTCTCTCATCCTAAATGGCTGATTGATCTTTAATACAGCATGAAATAGAGTCAGTGATTATTTACCTAGCCAACGGAATCCACAAGTGGCCTGAAAACACAGACGTTGAACTGAAAATCTTGATGTTGCTAATCTTGACAGGGCTCGTATTATAAGCATAAAGCAACAAAACCTGCAAGAGACGTGGAATGGGTGTGCTGTAATGCAGTATGGTATAGCAGAACTGAGCTGTTTCAGTGGCACAAGATTATAATACATATCAAATACAGTGTACTGATGAACTCTTAGATAAYTGACCTTCAAAAAAGAGGGGAGTGTGGCTTCATGTGGATTTGTACTATACTCTGTTTTTAAAATGTTTTTAAATATTTAAATTATGAATATAATTTCTGTGGTTTTAAAAATTAGGTCTACCCCATAGAGACACTATCGAAATCCCAGTGTTGTCCTGATGCTGGCCAGTCATGTGCATGGCTGTCATCATGCTAGGTTTAAATCCCTGAAGTGTGCATAACTCACCAATCTAATAAAGCTGTACTATACAAGAAAATTAAATAGAATGTTTTCATCTTTTGCTGCAATCATTTACTAGTATGGTTGAAAATATGCTTCCGAGTGGTAGCGGAATATTTTGATTATATGGAAAATATCAAGAATATGGTATTCATTCATTAGTTGTTTTCAAGCRTGGTCTCTGGACCTCTAATATCTGTATGGCCATGCTAAAGTAACCTGCAAAACCATATGAAAAGGTAGATTATTTACATTACTTCACAGGGCTTCTATCAGTTTATTAATAGAGATAAACGGGTCTAGTAAATTTAGTCACTGAGCTGCTATGCCAAAAAGTTTGGAGATCATGGATTTTTATTGCAGTAGCTGAAAGTTTGCCTACCTGTTGTTCCCTTGTATAAAGATAAAACAAATTCCATGTCATAGTCCCTTGCATTCCTGCAACCCTCCCATCTCTTTTGTCTTTCAAGTTTAGTCTGACCTTTTGGGAAAACGAAGTTTACAAAATCTCATTTTCACTGTATATGTATAACTTCRTTTTTCCAAGAACTTCCCACCAAACTATTATTCAGTGTGTCAGTCAGGTCTACCCAAACTTAGAGGGCAGGTGTTAAAAACAGTAGGGATTTGCAACAGGCATGAATGTAACATGACCCGGAAGCTCTGCATGGGAAATGAAGTTTTTTTTTTGGCCAGTCAACAAAAACTGTCAGGGCATTCTGTTTTTYTGAAGAGGTTTGCAGCAAAGCAACTATATATAGCTCCCTGCTGTCCAGCTCGCCTATCAGCAACTGTATAATTCAATTAAAATGCTGATAACTCATAACACAAATATTCATTGGAAATGAGACAAAATGTGCTCCACTACCAAAGGAACTGCTTTGCTCTAGGTATACCTTCGTTTCTGTATCATTTGATGGCTTTGCCACAGAAGGAATATACCACTGAATGTTAATTTCCTTATTTGAAGCACTTGCTGCCCTACTCTCTGTCTGCCCGTCTTCTTCTGCAGTGACAGAAACTGGAGAAGCTGTTCTCACATGTGACACTTCTGATCCAATTTCACTAACTTCAAGAGACACCTGAAACACAAAATGAAGGTTTAAGATATTTTTTCTGTAGTGAAACATGAAAAATCTGTTATAATCTAGTGTCTACTGAAATTGGTACGGTTTTCATTCCTGCATAAATATATGTTTATTAGATAAATGGATAGTTTTTGAAAGTGTTATTTTTACCAATTTAAGCCTTTTCAAAGCTCACGTGATGCGACATTTCTAAAGGTAATATAAAGGATCTGTGGGCTGACTTAGAAATACCCGCAGTCACGATGATTGTTGCCTTTGACTTAGAATCATTATGGCATTATGGTTTTTGCTCAAATCTATTATTTGGCATACTGATCATACAAAATTTAGTGCTGAAAAAGTAGTTTGTTAGGTATGTATATTGATAATTAAAATAGTATTTTGAATGTTAGAATAATGCTTTATTTATGTTTACCTCTCTGTTTTCTCAGCTGTGCAATTGACAAAGCAGGTGACACCTGCTGAAAATTCAATCACTTAATTTGTGAGGATTTGTTGTATTTAATAAAATACATATGGAGCATTAGCAGGGCTTTCATCAAATAGCTACTGTTGGCTGTCATTCCAGGGAATTAATGCAGGACTACTGTCAGCCAACAYTCATTCATGAGCAAAACCTTTTCATAAAATTGTGAAATATTTGATTTAAAGGCTGAACAGTAACACAATCTTTACTTTTTTTAAGTATTACACAGATCTGCAAAGAAGAGTGGCCAAAAAGTCGCATTTCCAGGGAATATGGAAGCTATTTGAAAAGGTTCTTAATGTCTCCATCATTGATTCCAAAATGTGGACACTGAAAACAGCTGCCTGGGGAATTAATTCTTTCCAAATTTTGAATATGCATTGCTGAAAAAAAAGGAGGCTAGTTTTTTTACAGGACGGTCAGCTCATGACCACTACAGGGCAGTAAATCCAAGTGAGCAGAAGAWGGATTCCTCACGATAACTTAATCTTATGCCATTAAGCCAGTTAGCATCCAACATCAAAACTTAAAAGAACTGAAGACAGCAAYGAATCCACATAATGAATTCAAGCACATGGATATGCCTTCAGTGGTCATAACCCACGCTATGCCATGAGGTATGCATGCAGGACCCACCTACTGCAGACAACTGCTACATTCAGAACCTTTAGTTCACTATCCTGATAGCATGGAGTGTGAACAAAACTAGAAGAAAACACATATTTGTAGGTGGAAAGAACGTAATTCATGCTGTGCCCCTGAACTAGAGCTCTTACAATTCTATTTCATGCTATATACTTCTTTCTAAAATGTGTGCTATGGTTTTGGGTCATTTTCACTGAATTGCAACTTTTGGGTTTTTATTCATATTGAATTTTTTTTGAAGAAGGACATTACATCTGCTATTGTCAAACTGGAGGGTTGCTGAATTATATACATAAATATTTGTCTATTCAACTGTCTCAAAAGCCTGAAGGCAACCATCTTAGTTAAATATTTCCAACCCTATTAACTATCATGGATCAGAATAAAAAACAGGAATGCAAAATGTAACAAGGCACAGAATTTTAATTATAGACATAATGTAATTTGGATTCTTTGTTCAGCAGATCTGAAAAAAATGTCAAGGGTCAAAAGTAGAATACAGAGATAGATGTAAGAGAAACAACTTCATACATAAAAATAATTCTTTCAAAAAGTATATCTATTTGTACTGTTAAAACTCACAGTAATAAATTACAGTTACATTTTTAAAATAACCTATATAACCTTCTGAATAGTTAAAGCTTCTAAAAATGTTGTGATAAAAATCAATGAAGCTTAGAATTAAAAAAGTGAGAGCTTTATGCTTGTTAGCTGTCTACAACAGTGAAGTTAATACATGATTATGCAGCTTGCACCCATCACGAACATGACAGTGAGCTCTGAAGCTTATTATTCTAGGACACTGTAATACTAATTATGTCAAAAAAAGAGCAGACAGAGTAAAATAATTTTTGATATATGATGGCTGTTATAAATGTCACATACCATATATTTACAATTTATTCAGTGGCACAGTCAGCTCTTTGTTGGGAAATGAGTAATGATATGCTGTCCAACACTGCAGAAAGTTCACCAACTCTAGACAAGCTACTTTCACAAAAGTATTTTTATTCATTTTTGTAACATACCAAGTTCTCCCTCCTCAAGGCTCCTCTGTCTCCATCTAATACTGAATACAATAATTGAAAAATAACCCACAGAGAGTGATCTGTCATTTYAATTTTTAGTATTAGGATAATTATTAATTTGAGAATTGGGATGGAGAAACTTTAAAGACAATTATTTTTACACTTGATCTTCAAACACAAATTTCATTCAATGCTCAAAACGTGTGCCATGGTCAGCATAGAGTTCAGAATTCCGATTCAAGATTTATCTGAGTAGTATTTTCTGGGTTGCCTACATCTGAAAGCTCAAATAGGCTGCTTGCAAGCCAGAGACCTACAAAGGTTGATTTTCTAGCCAGCAATAATCARTAAAAAATTGGCACACAAGACCTTCAACAAATTTTGAGAAAATATAACTTGCATATTTTTCTAACATCTTGTTTTTATTATAGGCTAAATTAACAATACTTGTGCGTACAAATTAGAAAACTCACATTAGGACATTTTTGGTATGAAACATGGAGATCTGCAAGATTTAAAACCTCSGCCCTACAGAGTAACAACCAATTTGATTACCTAATAATAAAAAAAAGGTTTAAAATATCATTCTGCTTAATCTTCTAGTATCTAAATATACTGGCTATGGCATGCAGATTATTTTTGCAGAAATGAATAAAACAAGGATATTTGCATTTGTTAACTTCATAGTTCACTGCTTGCTGAGAATTTTGGTTTTGTACTGATCCTCTGCATAAATAATTTAATTCTTCTATAATGCTCCCGGAAATATCACCACTGGAACTATTGAGAATTTGAATGAAATACCAGTATACTGTTTTTGAAACATTAGAAAGAACATAAGTACCTCTGAAGAACCAGCTGGACTACTGAGTGGCATTTGTWCATCATGTAGTTCTTTTGGAAAATCCTCAAGACAACACATTGAATATTCAAGCAAATTCTTTTCCAGAAAAGAATGCATTTCTGCAATGCGTAGAACAATTCCTGTGTCAGAAACCAAACTAAGGTGTCCATCTCTTGCAGAAAGTGATCCAGGTCCTGGGTTAGGGGCAATTTTTAAAAGAGATTTTTAAAATTACATCATTATTACCCATTAAAATGTCAAATSACTGTAGCTACTCTATGTTCATAAATTTTGAAAATATTAAAATATGCAAATAGATTCAATATCAAATAAATGCATTTCCAACAATTATACTGATTATCCTCAAATAATACTAGCTTACGATATTTGTAATTTTTCACCAGTGATCAGATAATGAAACAAACTCTGACCAGACATTATAAAATAGCATCAAATGGGAGGTGTAATTTTGAGGTGTAGGTACTTAAACTCAGATGTAAGGACCAGTGTGTTCACTAGATGCCCGTGCTTCCACTAGAATAAACATGTATTCATTCAATACAGTCAAGCTTTAAGGTCTCTTAAGACCCCAGTTTAGGCAGTAGCTGATCAGTTGAGTTGCCCCCTAGGCTCCATCACTGGTACCTAAAGCTGAGATATACATGCACAAGTTTGATCTAGAACTAACAATWAATCTAGATTATGATTTTTTTAGAAATGTTTCAGATGTAAACATAACTTCAGATGTAATAACAATTAAGTTCTGAGGGAGGTCTTCCTAGTATTGTGGAGGCTTGTGACTATTTTCACTTACAGCACTTGTAAACTGACATAAATCTTGATTTCCATGAAGATTTTTTTTCACATTTATACAATTTTAAGGAACTCAAAATCACACTATTTCAGATGATAGCCTTTGAATCTGACACTGTTGGCCCACAAGAGCAGTATCTCACCTATAGCAGTTTTCTAGAAGGAAATAAAAATACATACCAAATAGGTTTGTGTTATAAATTCTTTTTAAATAATTGTGGTAGCGAATTATGTGCACCCATGTTATTGTATCTTTCTTCTGGCTTGCCTTGGAGGCAAGATTTTCYGTTCCTTCACTTTCACCCTGCTTGTCTTCTATGATTTGCTTGTCTTCGGTAAAAGATGCTTCAGGACTTTCAGAGACCACATTGTATCCACCTGCAACTCCAGTAAGAGTTCAAGAACACACATGAAGTGGTTGGAATTCAAAAGTTATTCCTGCCTTGTATTGTAACTCAAAGTATAACTCATGAACCTGGTTGTATTTTTCGTACATGAAATTTTTTTTTCTATTCTGCTTTAATATTAGTTGAAACTGTAGAGAAATTGTTTTTTAGATTATGTGCAGGAACCTTACTGGTCCTTGCAAGAAACTAAAAGGGGTAGAGAGCAAAGTGCATTCTCTCACTCTGACTTGGAATACAAAACCAAATTATTTCTGCATATTGTTCAATAGAAGGTATTTACTAAATGGAAACAACATAAGGAGTCAATAATGCAGCAGCTGAACTTCCCAGTTACATTGACCCAAGCTCAGAAGAGTTAGGYACTCTGAAATGTTCACTGTTAGTTTTAATCCTGTCCCTTTTAGATAGTAAACACATTTTCAATGAAATGTGTTCTCAACTGTAAAATAAAACAAAAGAAAATATTTTCTTTGTGCTGCCTAAGAGTTATATTCATGCAAAAAGAGGAAAAAAAATCAGTGTAGATATGACTACATCACTGCTCATATTCAATATGTTTTTCACTGTGTTAGTACATGGGTCTCTCAAAAAAATACACAGTTCTTTTGCTCTCTTTCTCARTCCAAACTGAAAAAAAGGTTATATTATAGTAATTCCTACAGTAAACTTTCAGGAAATAATTATGGGTGCTTCAACAAAATCTGAATGCCTGTATTATTCCTGACATTTCACTGTCAATGCCAAATGTTTAAATGACCATGCTGTCTTATAGATGAAACCTTAAATAGTGTTTCAGTAGGAGTTTTACAGAAAATATTTAGCATGCTATGCTGATAATTTACATTTCAATTTGCATTTTTGTATTTTGGCCTACTATTGCTTTTCTAAATTTTCTATTCTTTKTATTGGCTAACAGAACTATCAGGAGAAACACCTGCATTTGCTAAAGGAAAAACTGATCTGTAATTATAAGCAAATGGAGCTAGTACAAAACAATCTGATGGAAAGTCTTAGCACACAACACTTGTTTTCATAAACCAATCAAAACACATATGTTTAAACACTGTACAGTAAACAGACATTGCTCAGCTTTGCCAGAAGCTATCAAGCACAGCAATTCAGTCATTGTCAATCTCTTGGGATAATTAAAATTAAGCCACTGAACCAAAATTCTATCACTTAATTAATGTTTTCCAGTTTAAAAAGAAATATGAATATTTTGTCTTAGTGTTTATACAACATCTAGCAATAGTTAACTCAGAAATCCTAGTTTCACTATTGTGGTTCTCTTTTAGATCAAAAACTTCCATTTCATCAACTCCTTTAGCTGAAAGATAAATGCAGAAGTTGAAAATAAATGAGGCAAAGTTCTACCAAGTTAATAGAAGCATCTCTAAACAATAACCCACTGGATTGGAAAGATAGTRAAAATTTTATTATACTGACTGTAACTTTTAGAATACAGTACCCAGGCAGAAAATTTTGCAAGAGTTTGGGCTTGTCAGTTTTGTGGGCTTTGTTATTGGTAGTTTGTTTTGTTGTTTGGGTTGAGTTTTTTTTGGGATAATGCAGGGGGAGACAAGCTATTCAACACCAACATCTCTGCACAATCGAGAAACTCTCCAARGGAAAAGCTAATATACCTAGGGAAAAAAATCAGTGATAAGTCAGTATTGGAAAAAATAAACAAAAAAGCAGTGATGACTCATAGTGGGGACAAGACCTACTTTAGATGTCTGGGGAAGTCCTATAACAAAGGACCATCTGTTTTTCCAAAATTATGGCAGTATGTGCACTCTTTCTGAGTCACAGTGTGTAAATCATGGATTTTTCTTAACGTATTGAACAGGTGCACAGGCTGATACTTGAAGACCATGAGGTCTTAATATTTTGTATTACTATGCTTGATGAGGCTTTTGCTTTTACTTTCCAAAACAGATTGATAGTTTTYCATAAATGAAAATCAGATATTAAATGTATTACTAGATTACATTATAATGGTATATAKAGCTTATTATTTAATTACTTTTCTGATATTGCTATGTATAAAGGCATACCAGATATGAAATCTCTGTATGAAGAATAAAGATCCATAGAAGCAAATTTTGGGATTTTCTGTCGCACTTCATCGTTAATGTTCTGTTCTTTAACACTCTTCATTCCAATTAATAGCTGAGAAGCAAGCACAGCTTCACTGACCTAGAAAGAACATTTATTTTATTCAGGACTAGTTCACTATGAAATTTATATAGATTTTAAAATCTTAGAGTAGCAAGATGAGGACAAAATATTAATTATTAAACATGCTATATTTTTAAAAATATATCAGGAAAATACTCTATTGCTTTCTGACATAAGGTACACATTATATTTAAATAAATCATTACTGCTGACATCTTAATTACTGCATAAGTGATTTCTAAATAGATATCCTCATCTGGATGCCATTGATGTCTGCCCACCTGTCAAATACATGTGCACACATATCAGCTCATGTGCCATTTTATTTGCACTGAATCAAAGTTGAGGTAAACAGAGTCAGATCTGTCCAAGAGAGATTAAATGCACTATTCAGACAGTGTCATTTTAATTTTATTAAAGAAAACCCATACCAGAAATTTCAGGAGACCTTTCTACTCTTCTTGTTAGCATTGTCTTGTTTGCTTTTACAAGTAGAATAAGATTAAG